TGGTTGACCGGGGGGGTGCCGTTGCCATACCATTGGTCGTCTGTCCAGCTTCGCATCCCTGTCGCCATTGCAGGAACTGCAAGTGGTCAGCAGCACCATTCTCCTGCGGCGGCCTGGTCCATGGGTCACGTCTGACCCAGGGATCACTTCCATCAGAAGCAGCAGAGCCAGCTCCAGGCGTGGGACCTTCGGCGGTCGCAGGGCCGGAAATAGGCTGCCAAGTAGCATCCTCAGGAGAAAAACCAGGAGGAGGAGCGGGATGTTCCATGAAGCACGGCGCGCGGTCCCTGGACGAAACCCGCTCCGCTACCACTGCGGATGCAGTGGCAGCTGGAACCAGGGGTTCCTACGGTCCTTTTCGACCATTGCGTGCTCGGCTTGAGCCAAGTTTGTGGCATCAGCTTTTGACCAAGTTGGTCCTCGGGATTTGCAATTATATATATTTATTTAAAACTATTACTATCTATTACTATTATATATATATATATAATATACACTTGAGGTTCTTGCCAAAAATTGGACCTTCATGTGCACTAGGAAGAGTCTTCCCAGGCTGTGTTTTCCATGCCTTCCCAGGCTTTATTTTCTATATGTCTCTGTAGCCAGAAGGCTGGTATTGCGGGGCCTGTTGAGACACACCCGCATGCGCAAGAACGCTGTTTTTAGTTGAGTCTGGGATATTGTTGGACTTCAAGTCATCTCTCATTGTGCCTCCTGCGTCTCTATGCCAGACCCACCCCGACCGCCACGCCTGACAGTGGCTTCGAGCTTAACTGAGGTGGCCAGCCTGACCTTTGCCTATTATCTCCTTCCCTTGCGACAGCCGCGTGGAGGATGTCCTTCACACCTGAGAGATGGGAAACCGCCTTTGAGCCCCATTGAATGTCCATTGAATGTAGGCTTTTGGTGGCCTTTGAGGGATGTTGGTCACCCGAGTGGCCGAATGGCCTTTCACGGCGTGCGATTGAAACGGCAGATTGTTCGGATGCCATTCGACGATGCCCGATGGTCTTCCTTGGGATGTTGCTTGGCATCCAACGCCCGAAAATTAAGCTTGGAAGCTCCGGGAGACGAGGGTCGTTCGCCGAAGCGGCCGGAGTCCCGCGGTTTTTCGGTCGAGTACTGACGTCGGCGGCGGTGAAAGGTCCAGAACTCGCTTTTCACCCAAAACCCGCACCTCGAGTCCAGCAGGTTTTCGTGGGAGTTTCGTCCGGTTCTGAAACGGTGTGAGCGGTGCACGTGAGTCTCAACCGAGGGACCTTGTTGGTGCCCATGACGAGGCTCTCCAGATCGCAGCGGTGTTTTGGTCGATATCAGTTCCGATCGTAGCGAGAAACCCATGCAACTGAGGAGTTTGACTCTGACAGCTACTGAAAATGGAGGCTGGGCATGGATGGCTAGTGGGTGCTTGATGCCGAATGACCACCAAAGATTTCCCTGGGCAAGATACACGACTGGTGATGACAAAGGGTTCACATTCCATGGACCAGCACGTATACATATGTATACCCTAGAATCTAGAAGTCGAACCACCATTTACAACATATTTAATAGCCTTTAACCGAACAACTTGAACAACCATTGTTTTACTAAGGGTTTTACGCTACAAAGCGAGATACTGTAAACAATTTGAAGATGGTCTTTGATGACTACGGCCATTGTATGTCCTAACCTTCATGTTTGATGGCTTCTGGAGCCAGGTGTTGATGCAGGGGGAGAAGTTTCAGCTACTTTCAACATGGGTGTGGATGTTCACCTGAGGGTCCGGCGGCCCACGTCAACTCAGTCTCCCCCCCCACCCGGTTCAACCCATTTTGGAGCACCGGAAAACCATGGAAATCCCAACAAGAAATGACTCGGATGAGCTGTGGCACACATCCAAACCCGAAGTGGACCATACTGCCAGCGGTAGAGCTATACGGTACCTTCAGAGGTTCGGAATTGCTCACACCTTCAGGGCAGTTCCCGTGTTTGTCTTTGATTTTTTGGTGGTTGCTGCACCAAACATGGGACACGCCTTCTTCCAGATCCAGAAACGCCGTCCTTCCAGCCACCGGAGAAAGCTCGCCAGGCTTGACGGTGGACGGCACCTTCCGACCGCCGGAGGTCGTTCCTCGGAGCCGGAATGGAGGTCGACCCCCCCCAAACGAGAGCATGAAAGCGCGAAGAGCACGGTTGGAGTCCCGGGAGGTCATCCAAGGTTTGAAACATGGTTGCTACAGGATCACCACTGTGGATGATGCACAGGTCGAACGACTTGACTTCAATGAATCATTTTCACCAGCTAGTGGCTACTTGTTTTGGTCTATTTCGAGACGACCGACCGGACGGGACGCGACCGGTGCCCTCCTTGAAGAAAAACCGCTCAGAACTGGATCGACACCAACAACGCCAACTATTGGTACACCTTGGGCGGCAAGTTCCTGATGAACGTTTCGGACGCCTCGGCAGCGCAGTGGCAAGTGCAGGCGTGATGGCTGAAACCCGCGAGTGACGCTCGCGGGGTCGCATCTGGGGGAAGCTTCTGGGTGGCTGGAAGAACTTTCGTGTCTGGTTGATGGTGGTTGGGTGAGTGTGGTGGTATGTGGTGGTGTAAAACAAGAGGGTGCTGTAAGAAAGTCCCACAAACTGGGGCCCTGGAAGAGCGAGCTGTGCAATACTGGGCAGCTTATGGCAGCTTGACATCGCTGCATTGAGGCAAGCAGGAGGGTCTTCCCCAACTGTGAGCCCAAAGAATTGGTGGGGACCCCCCCCTGGCTGACAGAAGACTACAGATCTCGTCGGTTCAGCCTGAGTGTCCGGAGGTGGAGGTGGCGTTCTCCCCCTGTTCTGGCCCGAGAAAGATGGGTTCACCTGGAATCTTGTCACCCCGGAGGGTGAGGAGGCAACTCTGTTTCAATCCGAGAGAAACCTACTTTCCCAGTGATGGACAGTGATGGAACGTGTCATCGTTTCGACCAGCGAGTGTCCTCGAGACCGACCATGCAGGGGCCCTTTTTCGCCCCGTCCCGTTCGACCCCTTCGGTCCCGGTTCGACCTCTTCGGTCCCCACCTCAGTTGGCGGTGGGCAGCTATGTCATGGCCGTGGTGGCTCGTGACCGGCTAGGCCGGACGGTGAGAAAGCGGAAGAAAGCGGACGTTGAGATGTGGGGGGAGAGGGAGATCATCTGCACAAGTGTATGGTACCTGTAGAATCTATAGAGTCCTATAAAAAACCTAGCCCTACACTGCACTGGACCTGGTCATGGAACTTTGTCCTGCTGGCAGCTGTGTAGAACCACCAGTTGGCAGCTAATCGCAGACAGACATCGCACGAACCAATTTCGGGTGGCGTTTCACTATCATATGTTCAATTTAAACAACCTGCCTAGCTTCTTCTGAAGGGGGATTATATCATATTCAGTCTCAGTATATTTCTTAAGGATGGTTTCGGAAGATGGACAGTCACCTTCCTTCACTCCAAGTCACGCGAAACCGCCTCTCGTCTTCTCCGTTCACCCTTTCGGAGCTGGTTGCCACGCATGGACGGTTGCCACGCCATGCCACGTCACGAGTGTCACCGACACTGGGGGAGTGTGTCAACCCTCTCGTCTGACCGTCACGTTGTTCGGCTCGTTTTGCTCCCCAACGACGAACCTGATGGACCTCAAACGGTGATCTCAAACGAATAGCGATCGACACTGAGCGATTGGTCTTTTCGCGATGATCGCATGGTGAAACCGACTGTTTTCCGTGAGATTCTTTTCATTGCGGGTTGAGTGGGAGGCATCGGGGAGAAGAATGGTTCGAGCGCAGTTTTGGAATAGAATGAAGAGGGGTATCAAACAAAGACAAAGACATCGAAGTGAAATCTAATCATCCAACTACTGTTCAACTACCGCAATTAATTCTTACATATGTGTATATATAATATATATATATGGGGCATCACTGTCGTGTCAAAAGTCAACACTCTTGGACCCGGAAGCAGCTGCGGCCGCTTCGCTGGGGTCACAAGACGAGCGTAGCGGCGGGACAAGCTCAGCACCAACACCAAGACATCTATATATATCTATATATACAGTACAACAGTTTAAGTGTCGCCAGGTCCTGAACAGGGGAAGGCTTCATTCTAGGGCTCCCTGCCTTTGGGACAAGCTTGTTCCTGCGGCCTGCGAGGGAAAATGCACATGTGGTTTGCTCCCTGGTGACGGCCTGTTTCAAATCAACCTGGACCTGGGACATGCCTTCCTTTTAGTGGAAGTAAGGTCTTCCATGGTGTCATTTTCCATGGCCATGTCTATGTTTGTTGTGGAGAGGATGAGGTAGCTATATTACAGACATTGAGGACGGCTTACCAGCCTCTGTATGCAGGTTCTAGGAAAAAGGGACACCAGGAAGAAGGTTTGAACACCTGTTCCTGATGAGCCATATATTTATAACAAACTGTTGCCGCCCCACTCCAAACCGGTTTTTCAAGACCCACGGTGTCAGTCCAACCATCCACCTCAATCATGCGGGGAAGAACGTCCTGGATTGGGGATTTGCACCATTTTGATCCATTTGGCATCCGAAACGCCCCCGGTTGCCCAGGCGCCATCTCAGCAGCCTTCACCGTAGGACCCTTGGTGGAAGCTCCAGCAGGTGCCAGTCACACGTCCGCGGTGGACTCGGAGTGGACTCGTCGTGGCGTGAGCTGGGTCATCCAAGAGGTGGAACGCTGAAATCCTCGCTTTTCGAGTCCAAAAGCACCGGAAGGCAGATCAGAAGGCACTGAAGTGCCTGATTCAGAATGTCCAGAAGGCAGAGTCCAAAAGCACTTGATTCATGTGATGTGCCTTCTGCCATTTGCTGCTAGAAGTTGTGTGAGGTACTCACTCTCAAAATCCCGGTGATGTGCTTGCTGTCTGGATGTTCAAGAGGCACCCAAAGTCAGAATAGCCATGGTAATCGCCGCGTCGAGACAGACGAAACGGGCGGCGGCTTTCTAACTTTAGAGGTCCACTCGTCTCGGCTTTGCGATGCAGACGCTTCATTGCGACAGTGATCTCACTCACGATTTCACGGTCTCCCGGTCTCACTCCCATTTTGGGGCGGCAGATCCACGACCCCCTCCCACCACTCTGGACACCCGACGCCTAGCCCGACGCCGGTGTTCCCACCAGCGAACCCGATGCGCAGCCGGGCTCAGCCCGGAGCTGGCCATCAACTCGTTGGACACGGCGCTGTCCAGCGGGGATGAGACCGTGATCCTGGGCGCGCTCGACGCGGTGTCCTCCTTGAGCATCGTCCCGCGGATGGGATGGGATTGGGAGATGCCGTGGGGCTTGGGGAGATGGAACTTGGCTGAACTCGGCTCTGGCACAAACCCCCGGGGGGGGGGCTGAGGGCAGGGGTATGAAGAGGTCAGCGTTCATTGACAAAAAACTTATCTGGAGACTGGAGATGTCTCCACTTCACAGGTACCCGCAGCACCCAAACCATTCCCGCCCGGTGGAGGAATCAGGTCGCATGTGTTCTCATCACAACATCGCCCGGGAAAGCCCTCCTTGCCAAGATTTTCCTTGGACCATAGCCCGCCTGAAGGGTTCGTGATCACTAGTCGCTCCTAGATGACCACTGGGCCCAGTCGTGCCAGTCTTCTTCGGCACAAGAAGGTGACCCAAGATCCATCTCCACCACCTCGTGGGATGTGCGAAAAATGGTTGAATTGGGTTGAATTAGTCTACTTGAAACACTTGGATTCTTTAGTGCGACTTGTTGTATCCAGGCCTGAGCCGTTGAAACAGTTGAACAGTTTGCCCTCGTCGCCGTCTCCCGTCCCCGTGGCCGCAGCTTTCCAACTCGTTGCAACCCGGCCCCTGACGGCACCCGCGCCGGCACGGGGAGCGCGGGCAGCATCTCCGGGCACGGAGTCGCGCCCTCATGCGCCACTAAGTGGCAGATGCCAGCACCCCGCAAACGTGTGGAGGAAGGCTCTTCAGTGCTACATCTTCCGATCCCCAACGGCGAGGGTCGTGCTGCTCCAGTCCCTCAAGGTCCACTCCTGCTGCGGCGCAACGACGCAACGGCCTCATCGAGCCCGGTGGAGGAGGCGTCCGCCTCGCCCAACGGAGAGGAGGCGTCGCCATGCGAGTGCTTCCGCTTGCGACATGTACGCATCAAAAGCCTTCTGCCCGATGGCACCCTGGGACTCTTGCTCCATGGAACTTCCGTGGTGGGATTCTGTAGTGAGGATGTAGCGGAGCATGGATGGTTGGTTGGAGATCAAATTGTTGAGATCAATGGCCACCGCATCTCTGCGTTCGATGAGTTCCTGGAACGCTTCTTGGCGGCTCAAGTCCAGGGCTTTCCGATCGTCTTCAGCGTGCTGCGGAGGGAGCTTGAGACGTCCGCGTCCGGCGTGCCCGAGGGCCCGGCCGCGGATCCGCTGGAGCACTTCTTCAGCGAGACGGACTTCGGCGACTTGGCGGACCAGCTGAAGAACAAGTTTCCGCCGCAGAAGGCGGCGTCGACGTCGACGTCGTCTCCGCCCTTTCCTGAGTCGATCTTGGAGAATCCATACATTCAGGCGAGGAAGGGGCAGGGCGTGGGGAAAGGGTGGAAAGGGAAAGGTGGATGGAAGAGGCGACATGGAGTGGCAGTGATCCTGGAGAGAGGCTGCTTCATGTTTTAGAATGTTTTATTTATAAACTTTGTTTTTTTCTGCGCTCGAGTCTCGAGGTGTTCGATATTTTGCACATCATCCATGCTTGAAGGTTTCATTCTTACCCACGGCCCATGGTGCAGACACAAGAATGTGGGAAGGAACGTTCTGTTCTTGTCAATCTGGAGCCCAAAGGGGTGATTGGCAAAAGCTGACTCCTGCAGTCCCTCCCTTTAGCTATAGCTTCAAGACCAGAAGAACACTGGCACCTCCTTTCCCCTTCATTGCTTCTGACACCTAGATCTGTAGATCTGTCCATCGTTTGCCTGCTGGGAACGGTGCCTTCATCGCTGTCAGGCCTTGCGCAAGCGGCGGAGCGAGCTGAGCCGCAGCCCGGAAGGCTGGAGCGAGGAGGGCGGTGAGTTGCGGTCCTTGGCGGCGAAGATGGCCTCCGAGCGCAACGACGCCTTGGCGACCTGGGCGGATGGATGGAGGGGGTGATGGGTGAGACGAGGGAAGAGGGAAGATGATGGAAAGGCTCCTTTCTTGACAGATCTGATGGCTCAAGACCTGACCAATAGAAGTGGTGCTGAACAACAGTGATGCGACATTCTTGGGTCTGATGCCCCTGTTGTGGTGCTTGGTGTGCTTTGACATCTCTCCCTCCAGCTAAGGACAGAGACATGCTACATGCTTTGCTCTGCTTTGCTCACGACCACTGAGGCCATGTTGTCGAAAGCTGAGACGCCAAGACTCTATGAGTCTTCCAGATGCTCCCCTGGCTTCTCCTCGCGCCTTGCCGTCTCAGTTCCCGAACAGCGAGCCTGTTCGGCTGCCCGCACCGGGAGATTCGAGTCAGGCCCTCGACCAGACTAGACCACTAGACTCCCGACTTGGTTGTGGAGGATCGGGTTGCGGTACGTTGGACGTTGGACGTGGGTCCGGATCTGTGGGGAGCGGGTCGGGGTCGTGGTCGGTCGGCGCTGGCGAAGGTCGGTCCCCCCCCCCTCCGCGCAGCGTTCACCTGGCCCGTCCAGGTGCATCACCTTTCGGCCTTGCAGGGAGAAGGACGTGGTCGAGGAGTTCCGGGCCCCTCGGACCGGCCAAAAGGGAGAGATCCCACGCGTGTGCATGTTGGGCACAGTGTAGAGGCGATGGCGATGGCGGTTTTCGATGCGGAAAGAGCGAAAGATCTGCTTGAATCATCTTGACCATTTTGAATGCCTGACATCATGACAATGATATACCATTGATATCCATTGGTCATGGAGCAAGCGAGCTCCATGATTAATCGCTGGGTAAAGCAACTTCAATAATATGATCATTGGCTGGCTGTTGGATGGACCTGCGGCTTCAAGATTCTTTGGCATTGATTAGGCGTCGAATGAGCTAGTATATTGGAGTGAGATGGAGTGAGGGCCCGTTTGAAACTTGTAGACGCTTGGAAATCCATCAGAACTGTCTTGCTCCTGCAGCTCTGAAACATCATTGGTGCCCTGCTCTCAACGGCTGAGCAGGGCGCCAGCCGCGGCGTCTACGAGTCAAATGCACTCTAGGGCTCTAAGGATCTCTAAGGGTGTTTCTCGATCACCAGCTATGCCCTAAAATTGCTAAATGAGATCGCATCTGAGCTATCCATAGCTATCCAGATTCACACAGAGCCCCCAATCAGACACCCATAGTTGTGGGGGGTGGATGCAGACCCCTCCTTTTTTCCTCCTACATTTTTCCCCTCCATCCAACTCCCAGGACACCAGGCCACCCGCCACTCCGAGGCCACCCCCCGGACGGACGCCTGCGATGTCGAGGGGCTCCCCCCGGCGACCTTCTCGGCGCGCCAGCGGATGAGGGTCGAAGCCGTATGTCGGAGCCACGTTTCACCGGGAAGTGAGGACAGATGAGGCTGGTGTGGGGAACCCGCTGTTGGCCTCCGAACGACGGCGGTGAAGAAACGCCCAGGGCCTCACCCAAAACAGCAGGCTTCGGATCGATAGATGGCTTGCAAGGCAGACGAACCCGAAAGACATGATGTTTGAACTTTGAACAGGTGGATGTCATTGGGGATGTTTTCTTGGATATCTCCAGGGCCCATGACATGTCCAATGCAAAAAGACATATCTATATACATATATATATATATATATTAATGTTATATATATAATATAGACTAGATGATGATGGATCTCCTGCACCATGCCTGAGAATCATTATGAATTATCCTGCTGCCCAATGTTGGTCCATTGATATTGATAGCTGGGAATCCACCCAACGCCTCACCAACGCCTCACCGCAGCAACTTCCCACGGCACGAAATGCGCGGATGGAAAAGACCCGACGGGGTCTGCTGAGCCGGGGCTGTACAAACATGAGACCAGCATGGACCACAAGATGAACCCGTTTGGCCTCTTCGCCGAGGCCACAGAGTGGGCTCTATAGCAGAGAACGGTGTTCTTCCATAGCAGGGGTATGTCTATTCGGAACCTCGCAGGACCATTTTCATTGCCCAGATGGGCGACATGTCTCACTTTCTGCGAGACAGGCCCTAATCCAAGCAGCGCTAGATAGTAGTTCACGGTGTTCAGATCTATAGACCATTCTAGAGCTCAGGGAACTGACCATGTGGTGTTTTCTGGGGCCTTTGTAGCCCTGGCTCACCATCTATAGCATAGCCTTTAGGTACCATCACGAGGCAATGGTAAGCTGATTGTGTACCAAGATGATGGGCAAGAGAACCTTGAGTTGAATCCCTGGGGGGATGCACACCAATCAGGTGAACATATGGCATGGTCGGTCACCCAAGTGGATGCGAGCATTTCTTGATTCCAATGATTTGGCTTCCAACCTGAATATCTAAAACATCTGAAATTGTCCAGCAGTTAGTCTGCACCTCTCGGTGGCCAGCACGTTTCACGATCTGAGGCTAGCGACGACCCTGCCGCCAAGGAAGAGGCAACCAACAAGAAGATGGAGGTGCGGAGAGGGTCGGAAGCACGGACGAAAACACAGCCAGTAACTGATGCATTGAACAGTTGACAGGAGATCACAGGAGCAAGATGGGGACAGACGTGCTCAGGTGCATGGTTGGACATTGCCCACACTCAACATACAGCTATGCGTGGAAGAAAAAGGCGAAAACACAGGGATCTGCTGTACTTTGGAAAGCACCGAATCTTGATCTGAGTTTGCACATGCAGGGCCAAAGCAGATGTGTTTGCTCTTTCAGCCACAGGTATGTGCTTTGCTTTATTGGTTTTCCCCCGTTCGCTGCAGCTCCCGCGATTGGTGGGTCATCTCGTGCTCCCCTCGTTGTAAAGCACAGAGGCAAACTAGCAAGCAGCAAGCTGCAAGCCGGAACAGGTGCCTCGCGTCCTCGCCACATAGGGAGAGCTATGGAGAGCTTCAACCTGAAGAATTCACCAGCCAGTCCGGACTGGGCGCTCAACAGGTGGAGTTGGCTCGGTTCACCATTCTTTTCTAATGGTGAAGTGAGTCAGGTTAGATGTAGGCTTCCTTTGTAACATGCGGTTTAATGGCTCTAAAATGGGGTTCTGGAAGACCCAACCTCACCTAAGAATCTTTGTAACCATTCCCATGGGTTTGGGCCCGGATTCTTAGGCTCAACTCGGAACCGCTTCTGATCGAGGCTTCGTTTTCTTCATGCCCACTGCCTGTGTTTTGGGAGCTTTTTGGCTTCCGGCCCGAAGGCCTTGTCCTCTGCTGCGGGTGTCGTGGGTGCCTCCTCAGCAAGCCCCTTGGGAAGAACTGCTGAGGATGAGGATGCCGTGAGGTACGTGGCGGGGAGGTAAAGCTTCAACCCACAGTGGCAGATCTGGAAATTGGTTCCGGAACGTTGGACGGATGTTCCATGTAGATCTGCAGCCGTAGAACCAAATTTCTCCAAGAAACGGATGACTTCCATGTGATTTCTTGAGATAATCAGGTGGCTTTGTTTATTGCGCAAATCTGACTGCAGCCCAGTTCTCCCCAGGCCAGTTCCCCGCAAATTCAACTCTCTTCAGAAAAAGAACGTGCTCCAAGTCAACAGCCATACAAGCAAAAGGCTCGTTGCAAACATGTCACATCATCTCACCAAGGCCCAAAAGTCCTTGGAACATGCAAAGCACCCACCCATCTGAACACCATGCCCTTCAACCATGGTTGTGCGACAAGAGCCCCCCCCCCCCACGTTCTCTTTGGGGATCTTTGGCCCATCCGTCCTACGTCGCCGAGGCCTCGCGCGCTTCGGCGACGTGGCCAGCAACCTGCTGAGCAGCGAGGCCGGCGCTGGCGGCGAGGCCTCGGCCACGGTGGCGGATCAGGCGTCGGGCGCGCTGACGGCGGCGCTGGATGCAGCTCGGAGGAGTCAGTGGGAGGAAGGAAGAAGCGGTTTTGGGGGGAGGAGCGGTGCCGTGCGGTATTGCTTTTCCCTTTTTTTGGGGGTGGCATGAAAAAGAAGCCGCGAATGAGTGGATGTGGGTGGAATTTTGGAAGAGCCATGGGCCGGCAAAGCACCAAGCAGCTGGCAACCACGGGATACCACGGTCGTAGCCATTTTGGACTCTTGGAGTGGATAGATCTGGGTGTCCACCAGGTCCACCGAGCACGGAGCACGGTGGCCACTAATTAGGGTCACCTTCGAAAGCGGAGTTTCTTCTAGGTTGGCCTGGCTGTTGGTCTTTTGAGTGGCATTTATAGGATTTTTTTCTGCCTAAGATGTAGTGGATGTAGCACCTCCAATTGACCGAGCCAACAATTGTAAGAATGCTGTCGATGGACAGGAATCCGGGGTTAGTTCCGGGGTTTTATCGAGTGCTGCGAGGAATGAGAACATTGCCCTGTTGCACAGAAGACTGGCTTTGGTCAGATTGTTAGATACTCAGGCTACCCAATTCCCATGTGAGTGGGAGCAACTGAGTGTCACAGGTGCTGGTGAGCCATTGGTACTGTTCTGGAGAGGCTTGCCTACGCCCAAGATAGTACCCTTCTCATCCCTTAGATACCACACTCAAATTGCCTACTTGGGCCTCAACATGGCTGCCTTCCGTGTGTGTCAGCAACAGTCGGTGAAGGATTATCACTATCACTGTTTTGGGAAGGGTCTCGGCACTGGGATATACAGTATATATGCGTGTATATACCGTGCCACACTGTACACACTCCCTGGAAAAATCCATGAAGTGGATAGCATAGACCCTTCTGATCAAACATGCCCTTCCACCCTTCCACGTACGACCACCGACCTCCGACCGCCTGGTAAGGCCGCGTCGGAAGGCGCGGGACGAGCTGTTTCGGGGGACGGAAGATGGAACAATGTGACAAATGTCACCAACCTGCACCAAGGAAATGACTGTAGAGTGTAAGGACCTGCGAACTGTTCCATAATTCTAGTACAGGATTCTTTTAAGACTAGACATTTCGCCGTATACTCCAAAGGAACTGAACAAGCACACTGATGAGGCAAAACAAACAGACACCCGCAAAACGGACGCTTCCAAATCTTAACCTTCAACCACACTACATCGTAATCCTTGCCCGGCCTTGCCCCCACGCGGGGACCTCACCCCCTATCCCCTCGTCTTCTCGTCCCATGCCGACAGGCGTGAACCCCGCCGCTGCCACCTCGCTCCTGGGCGCTGCCACCTCCGTCGGCGCCTCCTTCAACGCCGACAGCGGTGGCTCCAGCGTGGCGCAGGGCGCGCGCGCCTCGAAGCTGCGGGTCCTGGTGCCTTGGGCCAAACGCGGGCTGGGAGGGCTGGGAGGGGTTCGACCTGGCAGTCGCGGCAAGGAACATCAAAGAGAACGCACGAACACTCATGAAAAAACGCATGAGTACTCTTCGATTTGGGGGATTCACGCTTGTACCGCACCTTTTCTCCCTTGCGGACGCTGGTCAGATGATGACGCTTCCATGCAACATTTGCCAGCCGACGCATGGCGGAAGTTTGCGAAGAGAAAAGCATGGCAAGATGCTTTCTCCAGGGGCTGGTCCGAGCATCCGGGCTTGCTGATTTTTCAGAACCTGTGGTGGTTCATTTTGGCAGGTTTGCATGGGGTTCTCTGACAGGACCTCGACATCAAGGTTCATCATTTCCTTAGAGTCCTAGAAATCCAAAGGGTCGAAGTGCTATGCTGACGAAAGAGGCCTTCGCTACATAGCATCGCGAAAGAGTTCGGCGACCCGAAAATGGAAGACAGAGACAATTACAGTAGTTGTTTTTAGCTTTATTTTATAGAACAATACAGTACTGTATTAAAAGCATTGTTTATTTACATCATATTTGATGTGTTTAAAATGATGTTGACTATTATTATGTGGTGGTGGTGGTTCTTGTGATTGTGATGATGTATTGTATTGTTTAATTTTTGTGGAGCTGCAGGTAGAAGAGGCAGCCAGAGGTGAGTCCCTCTATGATGTCACCGTACGTCACCATGAAGTAGATTGGACTGGAAATGTAGCGTACTTGTTACCCACAGATCGAGGCGCACAGACTAAGTAGGTTTCTTGAAACACGTCTATCATTACACAATGTACTATACTCCATCGTATACCTTCCATTTAACATCCATCAGACCTGACCTCCCCTACTCGGGCATGACTGCCGTGGACCCGAGTTCTCGAAATTGGGCTCCGCATTGCTACAACAAGTGCCCGCGGGGCAAGCCACACAGATCTCAACAGTGGAAGGTGGCAAGGGCACGGAAGCTCGGAGAGGAACCGGGTTTGGAAGATTCTGACGGATTCTGGGAACAGATGGGGTGGCAGTCGTAATTGGTTGGCGCGTCCGGAAGTTGATGAACATCAGAGGGTAGACCTGTGTTCTTTTGAATCTGTCCCGTGCTCCGTGCTCATGCACCTCTTGCAGTTTCTTTCCTCTCCACGTGGTGCCCACAGATGGTTGCACCGCAGGCCGCAAGAGTGGAACCCTTTTGACCCTGTGGCCATTCCTGCGGCATCCGACCCCAAAAGCACGGTGGCCCTTCTTCCACCTGGCAGGGCGATGCATGCCCTCCACTTTTCGTGTTTGGAGTGAAGTTCAGATGAGTTGGTTACCCGCACCCACCACGGCCAGCTCGCACCCAGATTGGCGCACTGAGCCATTGGCTCCTGAGCTAAGGAGATTGCGGTGGCCAAGCAGGACACCACCACTGCGGTGGCCAATGGTATCTCCTCGGGCTCCGCCAAGGCCAGAATGTGCCGATGGAAGAGGTGCAGCACCTTGAGTCTTCTAAAAGCCGTCCAATGTAGGGCTTATATAAGCTAGAGTTAGAGGTTAAGAAATGGTTGAGAGTTCTTCCATCAATGGAACAGTCGAAATCTTAGGAGTGTTGTTTCTTAGCCACATCGAAAGATGGTGGCTGCCCAGTGGATGCTGAGGTTTCAGGATGTTTTCAGAACGACCCCGCTACCCTCCTTCCCACCAACATGGAAGTCGAACACCGCCCCGTTTTGTTCGGGGAACATGGTCTTTCCACAGCCTCCCCTGATTGTTGCAGGGTGGGTTATCCTTCCGGATCGCTCCGAACGGGCTGTTTCTGTTGGGTGTGGATGGTTGGTGCTGTAATCAAAACCTTCTGCGTTCAGCAAGCTGTCAACTGGGCTGCACAACATTGCCGTCCTTGAACTGAACCCGATTGGTGAACCAGAGGCGCCCCGTGACGTCACACGCCTCCTCCCCGTCAACGGGGCGGCCGTGCGTCGCGTGCGTCGCGACCAGATCCCGGGCTCGGCGCTGGCGCGGCGACTGCAAGAGTGTAACACCATCGCCGTGCAGTCGACGGATTTTGTGGGGAGCTTTTTGGCGGAGCGAAGCTGTGCGCGAGGGATTGGGGTATAGAGACCTTCCTTTTTTCAAGCCCAGCATGTTCCCCACAAGCTTCGGTGATGTCTTGGAACTCTTGGAAGATGTCTTGGAACTCTTGGAAGATGTCTTGTTCTTTTTGATTCTCCAGGGCTGGCAACAACAGGTCGATAGTCGCTAAGTTGGACGGGAACACGGGGGATGGCTTTCGTCGTGGTTTTCATTGCCATGAATGGCGTGGGAAGTCGCCTTCATAGAGTCAAAAAGTGACAGGAGAGAAGACATATAGGCAACAAAAAGGTTTCAAAATCAGTGTCTTTTTAAAATCATTAATCACAGGATTTTGGCTGACTCGTGGACTCGTGGGCCTTGCCGTTGCCGTTGACCATCAGTGTTTGGAGAAGTGTTTGGAGGTCAGACATGGAATGACATGGAAGATGGAGGAGAGTGTTTCGGGGCTCAAGATGTCGTTTGCGACTGAGGCAATCCCTTCACATACCTGACTCCAAGCTCCTTGGACCATCCTGATGCAGAAGAACTTCAAGAACACCAACCAAGATGGATGTTAGAACCCGCGTGAACCCGCAATGACTAGTAGTGATGGCAGCCTTGGACCAACATAGTTTGAGAATTCCACCGGGGGAGACGGGGAGATGGGGCCCATGTTGGAGACGGTGTTCCGGACCGGAGCCAGTGGCAGTACTGGCTCTCCTGAAGCTGGACAGCGATTGAGAGGACAGGTTGCAAGGCATTGAGTGCATCGGACCAGACGGGCTTCTATAATGTTTGGGCTGATCTTGCTCACCAGCTGGAAGGCCGTCTCAACAGCCAGGATGGGTTTGATGTTCGTTTCCCTTCTCTTGGAGGTCGCGTGGCATTCCTTCCTAGTTTGAGACATGAGACACGGGGCCAAAATGTGCCCGAGGGCTAGGACCAGGATGGGCCAGGTAGCTGGGCAGGTTGGGCATGGTGCCATACCAAGGCCTTGGGCAGAATCAGTACGTGGCGAACGGTGCCACGGTGACCACTCTGGAAATCAAGCAATGCGACAGTGGCGCGGCAGAAGGGACATCGTGCCAACGAAGGGACATTGGACCCCACATGAGAACGATCTGCGGGTCGGAGTTGGGGGTTCCAACGACATCGGCTCCATGCAATTCTGGGTCTTCCACGGATCGACCTAGAAGTTTTCCCCAAGAGTGTCTGAGCGAAGGGTTCTTCAGATGAAACCTTCGCATCTTCACATCTCCCGCTGCATCTTACTTCTTTCTTAGGTGGGTTTGGCGAGATGCCTCGAAAGTGAACCCTTTGCGGGAGCCTTTGAGTGCCTAAAACTGAGATCACGTGCGAATTGTGCGATCGAAGTGCGATAGCTGTCGTTGACACTCAGCTCTGAGATTGCCAAAGTGTGAAGCTGTCGTTGGCTTCAACTTAGCAAACTGGCCGTCAATGACTTTTTTGGTGTGCTGTGGGGTCTCGACCCACAAGGTCTCAGCCCGCGAGGCCTCCAGTTCAAGTCCCCCCCCCGCCCGGCCTGGAGCATGCAGATGTGTGCGGCAGGAAGCGCGCGAAATTACGGCTGTGATGTCGCTGTGCCATGCGTATGTTGCAGGGTCCTGTTTAACTTTGAGCTTGGAAAGCAGGGTCGAAGAGAACCGGCTGCACAGGGGGAGTGCGAGTCTTGGAGAATTTGACTTCGTGCGGTAAAGCCCGGCATTCGGCGTTTCAGCCTCAGTGCTACTCACAAGGCGGGCTTTGCCAGGCCAAAGCACATGGTGGGTCATCCTCGCCGCCTCAGCCGTGAGGGGTCGCGGTGGCGCGGGTTTAGGGGGCAGGTTTGGAAGTTTAACCTGTGAAGAACAGATAAGAACAGAGAGGACAGTTTCACGCATTTTGCAGAACAGCCAGCCCACAAAACCAACATCTTCAGTTCAGCAAACCCAAGAATTCACTCAAGTGTCCTTGCATGTGTTGACGATGCTGATTGAGACGCTATTGGCCCGGCATCCCGGCGCAAAATAACGACAAAGATGACCATGGGTTTGACAAGTTGAAGGAGATTGCCACGCCAGCACCTCATCAGAAAGTCGCTTTGCTTCCGTGGAGTTCTGTCGGCGCTTCAAAGAGGCAGCCGCCTGTGTCGCTGCTGTTGTGCGCGATGGTGGTGATGTTACGAAGCTTGGCCGTCGAACCCTTCAGAGATGCTCATCGCGATGAAGAGCCTCAACGCCAAGCTCAAGGATCGGTGAGCTAGTGTTTCCCAAGCGGCCACAACCACACATCAATTAAGGGAACCTTCCTTCCTACAAACCTGTGTTGGGGTGCTTTCATCTTCGGGGTGTTGTGGTGCGCTTGCGCATCGCTTTGGGTCCTTGCGAGGACTCTCGGGTGCTCTGGCGTTGGCAGCCCCCTGGCCCTGTTACGCTGTGAGCTGGAGACGGCCGTGTTCAAAAAGCACTGAATCCAAGATCCTTCTTCACCGGATGCCGCTGGGGAACGTTGCAGGGATGCTTTGCATAAGGGAATCACTCCACACCAATCCCCTTCCAGTTGAACATGTTGTTCCTTGAGTTCAGGTGGCATTTTTTGTCTGAACTGGTGTTCTTTGATCAGGAGCCGCAACTTTTCTTGCAAGGAGTGATCGCCCATGAAGAGCTCCATGAAAGTCAGTAGAACTTCACCCCCTGCGATGCTGAAGGGGAATGAAGCCGACAAAGCTAAACAAGCTTTCGCACGAGGCCATCAGTTTTGTGAATCTATTTGTGAACCTTCCAGTCGGCAAAGAATCCTCAGGTGCGGCACTGGCGGAGGAGGGTCAATAATAATGGTCAAAGTGCTTGGCCTTCAAAGCAGCGACTACAGGCACCATCGGGTTCGCCAAAGCAGTGAGTTGCAAATGCTGAGGATGTGGTCATGGCAGGCCAGGCTGGAAGATGCCTTTGCTCAGGGTGGGCGAAGTTGTCCGCATTGGAAAGCTACTTGAGGGAGCCCGCCCGTCACCCTTGGCCTCTGGCTCTTCTTCAGTGAGCCGCTCACATGTATGCTTCTTGTCAACGTTGAGTTTTGGCCCAAAGAGAAAATGGAAGCCAACTCAGTTGACAAAGCAGAGAAGATTCAAGATGATTATGAGCCGTGGGCACAAAACCATGGAGTCATCGTTTCTATATGAGCACTACACCCCAACAAAAACACAGAAGCAGGCGCAAAACGGGCTGTCAAGCAAACAAAGCAATTTTATCGGGGCCGTCATGTTGCGAGGGCGGTGCACTTTGTGTTACCGAGCTTGCGATGAAGTGTGTTTCTCGCACGCTGACCTTCCAAGAGATGATTTGGAAGGGGCGCGCGTCACGCCAGCGGATATTTTACGCGCAGCAGTGCGTCGCTGGGCCAAAGAGAAAGGGGAGTATCTCTTGGATTTCCGCTCGCCGCGGAAGCTTCCACTTCAAGTGCTTGAGACAGTAGCTCAATGTGGTAAGCGCGAGTCTTGCGAAGTGTACTTCCGTTTTCGTGGCAAGGCAGAAGAGGTCCAGTACCACCTTGCAGTCTACCAAAGCCACGAGCGTGCGACGACCCCTCGAAAGCCAGAATGGCCAAAAAGAACCCAAGAGTCTCAGCCGTCTGTGGAGGAGCGGATGGCGATCCTAGCTGTCTGTGAGCGTCTTTCAGAGCAGGGCGTGGCTGTCATTCCGGGCGGGGCCGACCAGCTTTTGACCCGCTTTGTCATCCGTTGCAATTCCATATATTTTGTCCAACGTCTTCTCATCATAGAGGGCGCTTAACTCTTCCAACATGGCTTCCAATCCTTTTGATTTCGAAGCCTGCAGATGAACAGTTGAGGCCACCGGGGAGCTTTGCGTGTAGGACTGTGGAGTGATGAAGGTTGAGATATACCAAATGACTATCTTTCGCCAAGAGTAACTGTTATTAGCTCTTTATTCTTTCTGACCAATCCTTCATTGTCCGCCCATTCGTCTATGATTGCCAGGCAAACGCTCTCATTCTGGCAATTGGGGTCGGTGGACATTCTGTTTTGATAGCGTTTGCCTGGATTCGAGGAGTGGCCTGTTGGAAATGAGATGGAACGCGGTCCCCGGTTGACATTCCCTGGTGGGATACTTTTTCTTGTTTGTCGGGTGCGAGAATTCCTGCAGGTTGATCCTGCCAGGCAGACATCCGTCAGCAGCTTCAACGCCGCAGCGCCGCAACAGCCCTCACACTCGATAGAACCCTCGGCCTTGTCGAGGGGCGCGGTCCATTTTTTGTCGGGGCGCTGGTTTTTTGTTGTCGAGGAGGTGAGGTCATGGTTTTAGTCGAGGCTATAAGACAGCCTCGTCGTTCTTTTGTACATGTTCCCATCCCTCATATCTTCGCTCACCACCTTCCCACCTTCTTCCCACATGGTCTTCCTAACGTCTCTCTCTCTCTCTCTGTCTCTCTCTGCTTTCGGGCCACCCGTCGTCTAGTTTCTATGATTTTCTTTCCTTTGCAGCAACTAAGCGTTGAGCGTCAAGGCCCGACACACTTGAGGGGAAGTGCGAAATCTGGCTGGCTTGAGGCACGTGCATATACACACAAATGTAAAGTTTAACCATCCCGTTGCTACCGGCTATATATCTAAAACGAGTGTGGTCGACCACGGACAGCCCTAACGATTGCTTTTGATTCATTTAATTGTAAGGGATATCAGAAATGGGTCTGAAATAAAATGCTTGGCGCGGATGGATTGGCAAACTTATCAAGCCAGTTGTTTCAGATAACATGGTGGGAAGATTGTTTTTTTACTTTCATGTTTCAAATTCAATGACTTGTGCAGACCTCACCTGCGTGCACGAACTTAGATAATTATTCAAAAATATACCAGTACCCAAATTGAACCGCATCAGAAAATTATTCCAAGTACCCTGTTCTTTTTGTCAAGGCTGCGGGTATTTAGAATACGGAATTGAAGTGGCGGAATCTCAAGTCCATATTCTATATAATTAGGGACGGTTTTATCGATCTGTGTTTCCATCTATTTACATATCGATTTGTCAATCGTCTATCTATCTATCTACCTACCTATCTATCTATCTATCTACCTACGTATCTATCTATCTATTTGTCTATCTATCTGTCTATCTATCTATCTATCTACCTACCTGCCTACCTATCTGCTGTATTTGTCTATATGTGTGGGATGCCGGTCCGCCCTCGAGAAACCCACCGCACTCCCACAAGGACGTGCGAACTTTCCTTCGAATCCAAGGTTTAATCCAGAAACCAAACTTGGATCCAGCAATTGACATGACCCTGCCGTTGCAGCTGGCCTAAAGCTGGGGGTGTGGAGGTTGAACAGCTGTGGTTGTGAGACGGCTGCTGGGGTACAGTCAAATTAGGGTATCGGTATCCACCCATGTTCTGACTTGGGGCGGGCCTTAGCCGCAGCTTATCGAAACTGAATGTGGCCGGCAGGTCCGCATTCGCAGTCTTGGATTGAAGGGTTTGGGGTGCAGTTATGGTTTTCACTTTTGTGCGCTATGGTTTCATACACTTCAGGTAGGGTAGGTAGAGCCTGGTTTGTTTTTGTTTTTTGTTGCGGGTTGGCTGGTCCTTTTCGTCCGTTGATTGGTTGGCGTGGTTGGTGTGGGTGATGGCGGGATCGCCCGGCAGCTGGGGGCTTGACAAGTCCAATGACCGCACCTTCACAGGATGGGGGGACCCAGCTGTGGATGCAGGCAACAGCAAGTGATTGAAGGAGACCAAAGGCGAACTCAACTTTTGCAGTGGACCTCTTTTGAAGTGCAATTTTTTCCTTCCATTTCTCCACCATTTCCCCACCGGTGTTGCGTCCCACCTTCAAAACCACCGCAATGGATTCCGAGGAATGCCGCCTTGGGTGAGCCACCGGTGGGCTATGCCTGGGAACCCGTTTGCTTGAGATTGGATGAGACCTCGGAGGTGTTGACCGTGCAGGCTCGGCCGGAAGTGCGTGAAGCTGATTCAGTGGGTTGTCGTGGACGATGGCGGGCTTGATGCTGGGGGCCATTATCATCCACAATTTTAGCGGAAATTGTGGTAATTGGATGCTGAATCTTTGGGATGTCAGCCACATGTTCATTTGGACTGAGCGGGCTGTGTCTACAGGGAACTGCTAAAGTTGAGCCGTTTGCGAAGCACTTGCCAAATCTCCATGGACCAACTTCCCTGAAAAGTCATCGTGTGCCTTTCCCACAGATGATGTTGAATTGTGTTGCACTGTTTGGTGTTTTTTTTTTTGACTTGAGTGAGTGGGCGTAAACGTGTGACTGTGTTGCCTTCAGAAAACCGTCGCATCCTTGTGGACCGGAGTGTCATGCGGAGTCCTTTCTAGAAGAAACCGGTGGGCTCTCATTGAAGCACAGTTTTTCCGGAGAAAGTGCAACTACGCCAATCAGAGTGTAGGGAAACCAGCATTGCAAACGCGTTGCCAGTGGGAGTTGATCCTAAAGACATGACTTTCTACAATCCATAGTTTAGATTGGGGGATGCTGGAGGCACGAGTCTACAGGATCATTGCAAGGAGGGAAGATTGGCCAAGCCAGACTTGTTAAGCCCTTGGAAACGACCAAGCTTTGGCCACATGCAAAGCAACTGCACTTGAAAACGCTGTTCAATGATAGGGCTCGCTGTATATACAGCCAAGGAAGGTTTGGACGATTGGAAAACGTCTTTGTTTCTCTAGATTGGAATTTGTCTATGATGTTCGCCAAACTCACTGACCACTCGTCATCAGCTCCATTGCTTTCTCCAGGAGTGGACCACTGATGGCATGCTACGGCTGCTGCCACCCTCCTATGGTTCCACCTCAATGGAATGTGCAGCCAGCGTGGGCGGTGGGAGCTATGCAGCGATCTACATCCCCGTGAAGCTAGAAGAGACGGTGCCCCGGCGATCACAGCCAGGCAATAGCCACCTAAACGGGTGGGCAATGGCCGCCATTTTGCTTGGGAGACATCCTGTGCCAATGGGTAGACTATGGATGACTAGACTAGTCTATTTTCCTTCTTCCAGGGGGTCGAACTGGGAGGTCTCCCTATTGGCCACTGAGTTGGCATCCTGTTTTGGGTCTAGTCGTAAGGTTTTTCAGCTGTGTGGGTGTCATGGCTTCTGGTTGGCTTCAGGAGCAAACCATCCTACAGCCCAGGAAATTTGACATCTAGTATTTGTTACAACGGGCTAGCCTTCAAAGACCATTAAAACATAAAAACATGGTTCACCTGGTTTTGTAGTGTAAAGTCCATAGTAAATCAATGGTTGTTTGGCAACGACCATTGTAGCAATGGTTGCTGGAATCCCAGGGTCCATACTTCTGGGAGCCCGGGTTTCCTCCACCCCACTTTGGACGGAAGACACGCTCTGCGGTGGCCAAAAGAATACTTCGGCCCATGGGCGAGGTCACCAGCACGACGGGCACGTCCACAAGGCAAGAGTTGGGCCGAACGAAGAAACTACTTCAGTTGCATGTATCCACACTGTATACATCTTCCTAGATGGCTAGTCTCGCAGACTTAGCGGCTGAGTAGGAGTTATGGGAGTCGGGTCTTTTGGATCGGCTGCCGACCCCGGGTGGACCCGGGTGGAGTGGGCAGGAGGTCCGTGCGGGAGGTGCACACACACCCCAGCAAAGTTGCTTGACAGAAAACTGTTTGCTTGAGAGTTGCTTGATTTGGATCTTGCTGCATTGAACTTTGAGCAGTGAGAGATAGCCAGAGGTCCCATCGATCGGTTGTCAACCCTTTACTGTTCGACCCGGACCAGAAGCGCTTGGAAGATCCAATTCAACCCAAAGTCAGGCAAAGACCAAAACTACTTTATCACCTTATAGGTCTTTTTTAGAGATTTTCACGCGGGCCGAGCCTGACCTCACCTCACCTCACCACTCAAGTCCAACATCACCTTCACTGCAACACTACCGAATCTGGCCAGGACATTGGTGTCCACCATTACCAGCACCACCACCACGGTGCTTCCCGTGGACAGCGGCATGATCATCGGCGTCACCTTGGCCTCGCTGGCCCTCATCGTGGTGGTCGGCGCCATCGGCTGGCAGTGCTACGTGGGCAATGTGAAGGCCCGGGTCACTCCAGGGACCCATCGGTCCCGATCTGGGGGGGTCCCTTTTACCGACCGATCCGGTGGTTGACATGCGGGTGGACGTTACCAGGTGTTGATAGGGAAGGGCAGTGCATGGAGGTACGTGGAGGTGCATGGAGTGGATGAGATCTACAGTGATGAATCATGATATGGTTCCATCACCCGTTTACCGTATCTACAGTCTACAGTTTGTAATTGCATACGGTGTTGCAAAGGACGCAGTTGCATAAGGCATAAGCTGCAAGCGAAGGGGTTTGGAGATCGTCCCTCTACTTCACTTTTGGACGGAAAGGGGTGTCACATGCATGAAGTTGTCCTTTTTGCTGTGTCGCAGCTGGCAAGCATACAAGTATACAGTATACAGTATGATTCAGTATGATTGTTATTGGGGCCTGCAGATGCTGCGCGCCAGACGCCGTGGTTTATAAGAGAACCCTGGAATGAACGGGTTGCTGAGTGGGTTGCTGTACTTGGGCGTCTTGGGCGATCTGGCCATCCACCTTCCTTCAAGATCCAGGTCTTCAGGTCTTCCGGTGGTAACGTTGAGCGTTCAGCTGATTAGGAGCTTACCACGCATCCGGCACCGTGCCCGAGGTCTCAAAGCCAGATCTCTCCTGTCAGCGCATGCAGGACGCAGCACATGTTCTTTAATATGCCAACGCCGCGTGGCTCTGATTCGTTTTTAGTTTCCAAGTCCACTGATCAGGTGGCATTGAACGTGTGGAACCGTAGTGTGTGACTTACCCGATCCCACGGATCAGTCCACGCCCCGTCCGCTCCAGGATGTTTTGGCCAAATGGAAGTCCAGCAAGGTGGCTGTGGAGCCCCAGAGCGGCGAGCCCAAACCCGCCTGGGACCGCCCTGCGGATGCCTCCAGCGCGGAGGGGAAGCAGGCGAGACAGGATGCGCAGGACTGGCCGCGGCACCCGGAAGGTTGGTGGAGTGGAAGTCTTAGGTCCGGACACATCGGGACACGCAAGAGGAGCCTCTGTACCGAACAACGAGGTGCCGCTTTTATTCACCGTCAAAGGGATTCAAAGGGGAGATGTGTTGTACTCTTGCCCTCCCAGAGGGATTTCATAGCCCGATGAAGATCAATGTTGGGCTGACATGAACATCATTTGCATAGCTCCTGCTACCCGCCCCTCCTGCCACCACCCGGCTATACCCGACTATCCAGGACCATTTCTGGGACTGGGCGAATGACCTGGTGAAATCCACCAGCAAGACCGAGCCTGCTGCTGCGGAGCCCCAACGCAGCGCGTCGGGTTCCTTCGGCGGAAAAGCACCTCACCTGCCACCGCGCTATGCCATGCCCAAGCCTTCAGCGGAGAAGCAGGAGAATTCAACCAAGAAATTGGATGAAGGATGATGAAGGAGGTTAAAAGGGAGGTTTTCTCTTTTTGGTTTCGTTCTAGCTTGAGGTTGAGTTTCGGACATGCATGGATGGCAGGAGTCGGCAGAAGGTTCGTTTGTAATGTTGATGTTTTATGATGTTTTGAGGCTGAGCGGCTCAGCGAAATCGGTCTCCAGCGTCATGAGGGTTGAGTCATTGAGTTGTGTTGCGTTCGTCTTTATGGCCACACGAGCTCCGGAGTCAGGCGAAACGTGGTCGGCCTAGTCGGCCTTTGGCTACCCAAAGGCCCCACAATTCTGGTTGCAGTTCCTAAAGGTTCCATGATCGCACTCCTCGTCATCATGTGGGTTTTGACATGCACTTTGCACTTTGAGGAAGTTGCTGAACAAACGGACCCAAGATCAAACAGCCATGAGATGCTCTAGGGAGGCATTTCTGATTGAATGGCTGCTCGGGCGCGAACGGAGCCGGGTTCACTGCCCACTTCCAGAACTCCAGACCCCTGCAGGAGTACTTCCAGAACTTTGCTCAAGAGCTCCGAGAGATCGTCGCAGCAGGCATCCCCAACATGATTGCAGACAACCAGCCAGCGGAGGACATCATCCCTCCGCCGCCTCCACCCAAGCGGCCCTCCCAAAGCGGTCCGCCCCAACCACCCAGGACGCCACCCACCTGGATCCGGGAAACGGCGGCGCTCTCAGCGCTCCCTCCGCCCTTGGAGAAGGCCGAGAAGATCGAGGTCCGCGTCGACCAAGCCTTCAACGACTGGGCCAACGACTTCGCCATGGTCGTCGACCTGGCTGCGTCGCCCAGCGACGAAGGGACTGCACCCCCGCCACCGCCGCCCAAGCCGAAGGGCGTGCCGCCGGCCAAGGCGTTGGGCGCTCTACCGGCGCCACCCCCCCGGCCGCAGCTGGCGGATCAACCGAAGGCTGCGCCGCCGGTGCCGCCCATGGCGGCGTCGGGATCGGCGTTGAGGAGCGCGGGGCAGGCCTGAGACGAGGGGGAGGGGAGGCGTACCGGTGGCAATAAGATCAATAAGGACACTTGACAAGTCAGGGGAGACTTTTTGGACTTGTTCACAGTTTTGGGGAAGTATTGCAAAGTGGTTCTTCCCTTCCGGCTGACTGGTGGAAGCGTCGCAGTTAGGGGCAAGGCTGCTGGATTTGGCCGCTTTGAACAACTTTCGTCCCAACTCGTGGTCGTCATTTTGTGGCTGTGAACTTGATAGCTGCTAGATGTGTGGAGGAGAGTCAAAAGAATTGCTCAGTAACTTGGAGAGTGTCCAACAGGCTTGCCAGAGGTTCGCCTCATCCAAAGGCCAATGCTTCCTGTGCGCCTCGACACCTGCACGGTATGAGATCACAAAGTATGGAAACCTACCTTACCGACCTACTGTACCTAGCAAAGTTGACCAATTACATGAATGAAACCCTGCGTTATCTGCGTTGGGCCAGGGTTTTAACCATGTTTTCCATTTCTGGGAGTCGGAAAATTGTGAATTCCCATGTTTGGCGTTGACCAGAAAACCCGTGAATCCAATTGGCTGGTCACCGTTCAAAAGCCCACCAGAATCTATCCAATCTCCGAATCCGCCAATTCCGCTACTTCCGACCGATCCCCTAGGTTGGAGGCCACGGCTCTTAGGTTGGAGGCCATCGCTTTTAGGTTGGAGGCCACCGCTCTCGGAAGTGCTGCTGTCACTCCTTCGCGTCCCAGGCGGCCTTGCCCAGCATGCCGCCTGGCCCACCCCCTGCACCGTCCGGGTCCGGCGGTTCACACGAGCCGCTCTCTCCGCCCACTGTGAAAGCATCACAGAGCCTTGGTCCAACTCATCGGGCTAGTGCAGAGATAGGACTAAGTATTGTAGACTCTTGATGAATAAGACCCCCCCCACCAAGAGGTTGGACCTCCCTACCTGTGCACCAGGAGGACTTGGCATGTGTTTTCATTTTTTACTTTTTGGAGTCCAAGTCCGTAAGCGTGGGGTTACTGTTCCTTTGAGACACAGATTGTATCCAGATGTATCCAGTCTACATTCAATTTCTGACAAAGATTTGCCTCTGGAGCTAAGAATTGTGTGTATGTATATATAAGTATATATATCATATGTATACACATACACACGTACGTAAGTACGTACGTGCACGTACGTACGTACATGCATACACCAATTGCGTTGAATTACAGTACGTGCATGTACCTGCCATTGGTCCTCGAAGATGTTGCTGAAAGCAGCGAGCCATGAAAGTCGCCGGCTTCTTGTGTTGATCACTGCCACAAATATTTCAATTTTTGCCATGCACATGAATGTCGAATCAATCCACATCCTATGAGGTCCTTCTGTTCTCCTCTTCCAGTCGTGTCCGAAAATTCAGCAAGACTGCGCCCAATGGATCAAGCTTTGTCGGCTTTGGTTTACTGCCCCTCGCCCTCCAGCAGTTGGACCCAAGAAACGCACGGGAGCATGCTTGGGTCTTCCTGGGTGATGCATGTTGCACAGCAATGCGCAGCTGCGAACGAGCGAGGCTCTCCATGGGTGTGCCAAAGCAGCCGCTGCTCCCACCGCTTCCAAAAGGCCTGGCTCCAAATCCAGCAAATCCTCCAAGAAGTCCATGTGTGCGACATGTTCCCCCCATTGCAGCTGGACCGGGTGATGCTTCCAAGGATCATATAGATCATATAGAACTATAGCTCTTTCCTATTGCCAGGGGGCTGATGAGCATTCAAGTAGATTCGCTCCGCCCCTTTCGCGACCCGTTTGGCAGGGACTATATTGACCTGTCGCGGCTGGACGGTTGACCCCCCACGATGGGGCCAGGTCACTTGAGACATCTCGAGACTCAATTTCAGACAGATGACACCCTCCAAAGAGGCACGTCATCATCATCATCATCATCATCATCCGGTGGGTGTCAATGCTTTTTGAACTGAGACTATTGGCCACGTGCTGCCAGGCGCCTCTGGCGGAAGTGCGCTCACGGTGAGCGGCTGGGGCCCTTGATGGGGCGACTCGGGGGCCCGACGTGGGAGGATCAATGGGACGTCCGTGGGACGTCGCGCGCGAAACGGGTTGGGATCACCCTGTGAATGCGTTGTTGCAGTTGCATTGATGAGATGAACCTGTAATTGATGTAGTTTGCGAGGGTTATATAGGTTCGAGGAGGGGGACCATCGTAAAGTGCGTCCACATGAAACCACGGACATCCCCCGAATCCCCCGGACGCCCTGAACCCTGCCCGTTCCTGGACCAAAAACATGTTGGTTGACCTTGAACAAAGGCGTCCAGAACGTTCCTAAATAGCATATGCTGAAGACTTGGAGTCTCAAAAGCGCAGGGACTTGGGATGACTTGAGAGTTGGAGTCCTTCCAGTTTGGGCTTTCGAATGTTTTGGGCTCTGGGCCATGGCTGACCATGTTTGGATTCCGAAGGGTCCGGGTCAGCTCAAAATATGTGTGTGGCACTGATCTCCAGGTGCTTTCTGATTCATACAGCTTGGCATTTGGAAGCGTACATGACCTGGTTCTTCCAAGTGACCTTTTGATATCTTGTAGGTTAAAAGTTAAAGCATTATGGCTGTAACTTTCCTATCTGATATTAATTTATGGTTCATAGTCTTGTATACGGACGAAAAAGAGAGGACTATTTTTACAGCATTTATATAGAATTTTAGTTTTATGTTTCCATAAGTAATTTCAATAAAGATAAGAGATTGTAAAGAATTAGACGAACAGAAAGAAACATATAGAAATTCTCTTTTATTAATATCCATTATCAATATTTATTATTATCAGTAGTTGATGGGATAGATATATAGAATATGACGAATGAAACGTATCTTGTTCTTATTCATGGACATTATGGTAGAAAAAAGGGAAATATAAAATATAAAATCATGGGTCAATTACTATTTGGAGATATAGCAATTTCATTCTTTAAGATCAGATTTCAATAACCTGATGTTGTTGGACACACCTCACCCGCGTGCAGAGAACACACAATGAGAGATCCTTCCAAGTTCTCAAAGCAGTAGACCATGTCTTGTCCTGCGGGGCGCAATCTTGCGCCTGCAAGGTGCTCCCTCAGTCCAGTTGCCCGGTACCTTGGATAGTGGCCCGGCAGGAGATCCGAATTTCTGGCTGAGCCGGTCCCACTGGCAGACCCAGCTTAGAGGATCCCTTCCCTTTCTCCTTGCGATGCTCTGTAGTGGTTTTGTAGGCCCTGCGAACGGTCCCAAGCCCTCCGTTTTTGGGGGTTTGCGGATGCAGCAGATGTTTGTTTGGGTGCATGGTGAGTTGTTTGAACAAACATGTCCCGACTAGAGACTAGATAGGGTCTGCTGAATTTTTGGAGGTGCAGAACCTGAAAGAACCTGACAGATTTGTGAGTGAAGGCCTGATCAGACAATGCGGCTGAAGGATCGCACGTCAGACCGGGCCGTGCTGACCTCCAAAGATCGCACATCGTCTCGCCTGCCAGACCGGCTGCACTGCTGCTGCGCTGCCAAATGAAGGGATGGCGAGGATGATAACTGGGAGTTTTAGATTTGCAGGGGTTAAATATATCCGGTATATCTCCTTCATGATTTGATAGCCATTGGAGATGCCAAACCAAATCTCCAGAATCTCCAGTAAAACCAAACATAGGGTGCTTTTTGCTTGTAGGGGATGGGATCAGTGTCATTGGAAGCTTAGAGGTGCAAACTTTTTGAAGACTCCCGGCCGCTACCACGGCCGCTACTGCGGCTGCTGTCTCTCCCAGGTGGTGAGGGCTCACCTACACCGCGTGCGGCGAATTCAGATCCGCCAGCAGAGTGAAAAACCTGTCCTGAAAGAAAAAAACTCCGCGCAAGAAATTGCAGTGGAATTATCGATGCGATGCGAGAAACGGTGTGTTCGATGGATTTAGCCCCATCTTGATTTTATCTTAATTTTCCTCCGCGGCCTTGTGACAATGCGTTGCCGCAGGGTCCGGTTTCCAAGACTCTTGTGCCGACCTGGGAGTGATGGATCGTACATCAATCCAATATCACTTGTCCCACGCCACCCGTAAAGGGGAAGCATGTCGGCTCGGGGTCTTGGAGCACTCGATCTTTTAGGTGTCTCAGCGCCTTACCCAGAAACATGCCTTCAGCTTGCGTGAACTCTGCGCAAGGGGAGGCTGTAGTAGCATCATCAGACTTGGTGTATTTGATGGCACTAAGATGTGTGTGACATGCATGCTGAATGGGGCGTCATGCACCTGTTTGCATCTTGCCTGACCATGCCTTTGTGGCTTGCCAGACCACCAGATCACCAGACCTTCCGCGGACCTGCCCATTGAGGGTTTCACATGTTTTCATAGGCCCTGGAAAATCGAGCAGATATGTAGAAACATGTAGAAGTGTAATATCTACTGTACACTCCCTGGAACTGTGGAAAGCATGGCCCTTGCAAGACCATGCTCCTCTACAAACAGGGTGTTGTCCACTTCCATGTAAGTTCCAGGGAGAGTACATCATTCTATATCCTCATCGGCCGCTTTGCTCCAAGGAGTCGCCAAGGATAGATTAGAACAGATCGAGAGGACAGCGCATGGGACCCTGAATGAATCACGAACAACCTTTGACCCAAGAAGAGGGACTCGGAAACGAACATGATGCAACTCTTCCATGCTCCAATATGGTGTTGGGTGGGTCTAAGAGTCTAACACGTCTCTGCTGACACCTAAGATCACCTGAGCCCGAGGCACCCACCAGGTCACAAGCCGGATCAAGCCGGGCCACCGGGGCCGGACGGCCGTAGCCGAACGCACCTCTTGGGACAGAGAGGTACCTGCCAAACACACCAAGCCTGGCATAGCAGTTGGACACCACGTCCAACGTTGCGGTCCAGCAAACGACCGGAACGGCTGTAGATCGATGCGTCCTTGGTGCCGATGGATGCCCCCGGGCAGATGGGACAGCATGTGGTACTAGAGCTGATCAGGCTGACTAGCGGCTAGCGCTTACTAGGATAGCATCAGGGCCCACGATGCGCGACGAACACATGCATACTTTTTCCTTGTGCCATCCCTGAGAAGATTTATTGAAGACTGATTGCAGTTAGCAAAGGTGCACCTCTCATTATGAAGTGTTGAGCTTTTTGAAGGTGAACTGACTGGAAAGAACAAGCCGAACAAGCCCGTTCCCTGCAACGCGCAGCCTTGCAAGAGTTCAAGGAATAGAGAAGGAATCATTAAGTTTGGCGAAGGAATTTCTAGGGAAAGTGGCTACCATTGGCATCAGTATCTAAGTATCTATGTATCTATCTATGTATGTATGTATTTATCTATCTATCTATCTATCTATCTATCTATCTATACCTAATGGTACGGTATAAATATTTACCGGGTGGGCAGGCAGGAGTTCCAAACGACTCGATCTCTATTGACTCCGATCAGCAGATGATACACATTGGACTTTGGTGACGCCCGGGGTCGAAGTCGACCCATGTGATGCACAGGCACGCGTCACCGGCAGCGCAGTTTGTACACGTAAACGCCTTGCGACTTTTTGGCCGATCTCTCCCGGCCTCGGAACATCACTCGTCTCACTGGGGAGAATGTCCAATGAAAGGAGCCGGAACGAGCTTTCCTCGCTCCAACCGCTTTAGCCTCAAAGAGGGTGTTGTAAGCGGTGGCCAAGATGGCAAGCACTGAGGTCGGGGGCCCTGGATGCATGTGAAGAATGGGGGTGATTTGGGGACTTTCTACGCTGACCGGTAACTAGCGCGGGTGAAGAATGGGTTGTGTTGCGATGGGCCGTCAGACTGTGATCAAATTGCTGCATATAGTCATATAGGTTCCTTATGGTTCCTTCCTTTGGGGCTGGCCCGGCTGCCCCTTCCAGACCACTTTGCACTGCTTGGCGTGCCGAACATCAACGACACATATTCGCAACGTAGTGTCAATGGACTTTTCCCTTCCAATGCTGGGCTTTCTCCCGAACCCAACCCCTCCCGGTTCGCAAGAAGGGGATCATTTGGACAACAGGTGTCGGAATGAGGACCAAGATGTATATCTTCTCCCCTCCCAGCCGTCCCCCAGTCCGTCCCCGGGCGTCGGTGGGGTGTCATCCGACGGGCCAGGATTTGGAGTAGCGACAAGCCCAACAAGCCGAAAAGAGGGGAGGAGGGCGAGCATGCGAGCGACGGGATGGAGGGATGGGCGGAGGGCGAGCCAGGCGAGCCACTGAGATTGAGAAGGTCCTGCCATTGAATTTGTTCGATCCGACCCGAGGATGATGTAGAGTCTGCCAGAGGAGAACTTCCTGGACCGTTCGCAACTGTTGAGAAGGCCACTAGTCACTAGTCGTCACTAGCTGGTCGGGCCAATGAGCTCAGCAATCTTCACACGATCCGCATCCCAGTTCTGATGCAGGTCAACTTTGGGTTGGCAAAGCATCAACGTAGCATCAACATGTAAGATCATGTAAGATCAAACATATTCAAAGATCATGTGAGCTCAGACATCTTGAGCCATGAGACACTTTCGCTTCTCGGCTCCGTTTCGAGATGTTTCAAGCCATTAAAGAAACCACCGATCCGACCTGCGGCCGTCGAAGTCGCCAACCTCGGGCTTCGTCACGGCGAGCGGTGAGAGGCTCGAGCCTCCGGGAACCATACCACCAACTCAAGGCGTTCGAGCCATGAGCGAATCATGGCGGTGCTATAGACTGCGGAAACATGCGGAAACCTATAGGCTCAGACTCAGCCAGCGAGCGAAGGCCAGCAGCAGTGTTTGTTTGGTTTCAGGCTCGGCGAGCGAAACGCGATGTTCAAGCTCTTGGGTATGACCTGCGGATGCGCAAAGCTCCCGGTTCGACCGTGCAAATCCGATCAAATCCGCGAGTTCTAAAAACCATTTCAAGTGGCAAGGATTTAAACCAAACCAACATGCAGATTGCACCCAAATGGCAACCTCTCCCTCTCCCACTCCCATTGGGCTTCCCCGGACTCCGAAACCGCGCGCGTGGTGTTTTCACCCGGGCCATGTGGCTCGGATGCCGCGGGCGCCGCCCTTCGTCGCGGCCCTCTGCCTTCTGGCCGGGGCCGAGCCAGTCCCCCGACATGAGCGCGTGGCGGCGGCACAGAAGGCCGAGCAGCTCAGGGGACGGCAGGGTGTGGCAGAGTCCGACTGGGCAGATTTCCGGTTGACATAATAGGAGCAGATGGCACGGCACCAGCAGTAGCCAGGACCTTCGAAACTTCCTATGAAGTAGCTGGTAGATAGCGCAGTATGTAGTATGTATTAGCATGTATTAGCAGTGAGTAGCTCACATTGCACCTATTTATCCAGATCCTCACACATGGGCCAAGAGCAAGAGCTCGGAAGATCTCGGAAGGATGCTTCGACGGGGCCCGCAGTGCCCACTGTGCACACCAATGAAATCCTTACCTGACTGATCCAAAGTCCGAAGTCTGACGTCATCTTGACCTGGCCTATTTTTACATGCTTTTCCCCTGATTGATCAGTGGGTGACCCGGGCCGTGAGAATTGGCTTGACCAGAGGTACCTTTTTCGCACGGAGCCTTCGCGTGCCGGTCTCCCAGACCTTCCTCCGAACCCGTCGACCTTCCCGACGTCGTCGGGGACCGCGTCTGCTTTGGGGATCGCAGTCGGAGTGTCCAGCAGTCTCTGCAGGTGCAGGAGATGTACAAACATGCCTTCGATCCTTGGCCCCTTTCGATCCTTCGATCCGGCACAAGGATCCGACTTCCCGCTCTTGCGGAAGTCGGATAGGCAAGTCGGATCAGGAGGAAACTTCCCCTGTTTTCTGGTAGATGTTGGTTGATGCATTCTTAAGATTCTTTTTATGCCACTGATGTATTTAGGTATTTCAACACTTGTCAACTCCATATTTGCAGATTCTGATGCATCCCTCTGGGCTGGCTATGCTTGCCGACGGTTCCTGCAACAATTTCAGACTTATAGACAGTTATATAGATGGCATTGCATAACGTGCATCTGTATAGAGTTAGAAAACACTCCTCCACACACACACACACCCGCACATCCCTCCAAGTCAATGACCTCGTTAAACTTGTCCATCTCAAAATGAAGACATTGAACACTGTTCACTTTAATAGAACCTACAAAGTTTTACTTGGTCCCATTAAAGGCTAAATTGTGTTCATTGTCTCCTGAGAGCCTGGTGCTTTGTGGTGGGCATTCTGGATGGCAAGCGTCTAAGCCAAGAACCGCAGTAGGGAACCATGGGTTACTGCTGGATGGCAAGTGGCTACGGCTAAGCCAAGAACCGCAGTAGGATTTCTTCTAGGAACCAAAGGGTTATGTCTGGATGGCAAGCGGCTAAGCCAAGAACCGCAATAGGATTTCAGCTAGGAACCATTATAAGGGTTGCTTGTGGATGGCCAGCGGCTAAGCCAAGAACCGCAGTAGGATCACCTCTAGGAACTGCTGAAGTCTTTTGCAGTTGGAGGCTCTTTGTCCATATTTTACTTCAATCGTCCGGATTCGAAGCCACGCCAGATTCGAAGCCACGGGAGAACATCGTCAAGGTTCTGAAGGCGAGGCCATGTGGACATGTGGAAACTGAGGGCTGCATAGAGGAACCACTAGACCACTGACTAGATCTTTGGAGTTGGACTGGTGTGCTCACATGGAGAACACCCACCTGAGCCCGGCTAGGACTTCTATGAGCAGCGGCTGGTGGATGAGGGCAGGGAGGAGACTGCATGGAGGAGCTGGCCAAGAAGATGGGTGTGCCAGCAACTTGACATGGGATATTGGTAAGTGCCTAGAGTCCTAATTGTGAATTTAACTGGAGTTGGCCACAACCAGTACTCAGCGAGGACCAGGTCTAACTTGGCCCTTGGACTAGGACCAGATACCACTATGATGGGCCTTTAGATGAGATCATAGCGGAAACTGTACTGTACAGAGATCAGCCTAGGAGAAGAAGTATCAGAAGATGATGAAGAAGGGTATGGCATCTTGACAGCACACTCGGAGCATCTCTGGATGTTGGTCAGCTTCCAGAGGGCGGTTGCATTGCAACTTTGCTCTTGAGCCACCTCGAATAAATTCCTGGACCTGGAAAACAACCTCTATCCTAGATATCTTATGGACAAGTTTAACGAGGTCTCCACTTCAGGGCGTGTTCCAAAAAAGGGCAGCCGTGATCCATCCGCCCATCCCCCAGCAGCAACCCACGTGTCCTAGTTTTGCCCCAGCCTAGTGGGTCTTCCTGACCAAACAGAACGGGAAACATGTTTTGACCTTGATCTTTTGGGTCTTCGTCCCCTGGGTCTTCTGCCCGTAGGATCTGGTCTATGGGGAGGCTGGTATTAGCCAGGTTCCGATTGAGTTCAGCAAGAATTTGGCATGGCAAAGGTCTACTTAGACCAACACCTGTGCAGACTGCGCTGGCCAATATCAAAAAGCTGAGACCAGTAACAGGCTCCTCTTAATGGTACAGGGTCCCAGCCAAGCGCGCCCCCCAAATCCAGAACCATCGAGAACCCATGAACTGGCCTGGGTCTCCTTTGATGTCGCTCTCATGTGACCGAAGACGCAAATCCAGTCTCTGCAGAAGAGGAAGTTGGACACCCTTGTGGGACACTCTTTAGGTAGAGCAGAAAGGAATGTAGCCATCTTGAAGACCATGCTGTCCAAATATCATGCAGAGCACGATTCCGACAAGCACTCCTCCATCTCTGCAGTGCCAAGAACTCACTGTCCAAACATGCAGGATACAGCCCTGACTCCTGGTCCTAGGAAAGAGCCGTCGAGTTCCGGGCGGTCTAATGGAGAATGACCCACAAGATGCATCGTCGTTCTTGGACACCGAAGGGAGCTAGTTTCGTCACCAAATAATCGTGAGGGAAGCGGCACGGATCGCATATGTCAGGGCAGATCACTGTTCGGTTCTGAGAAGGTCACTCCATGCCCGGTCCAGACCATTTCGCATGACGCATAGGTGATTGGGTCATGTGCTGGAAGTCTCGAATAGAGGGAGGTAAGTGGCTCGGGTACTCATGGTAGAACATAACGCAATATGGCTGTCCCACCTGACTCGCCTCTACCGAGTAGCACCAGAGCATGTTAGAGTACTGTCATCAAACGAACAGCTCATGGCTAGAGACCTACCAGAACTAGGAACCACACCAATCCAAGGGGCAGGAGTCTTTCAATACCAAGACCAAATCCAGGAATCCGTGGGCACACCAACCAGAGAAAGCAGAACTCCCGGAAAGCATACCAGAGATAATCACAAATCCAGCAACCGAAGCCCAATCAAGTCGACCGGAGGAAAACCAACCGAGCTCCATAGGATCAGAACAACCCGACAATGAACCAGATGCTAGTTCGTCACGGCCGGAGAGCCCAAATGCAGGTGACACTCCTACGCCTGACGCCTCTCAAATCCCAGTCCCAGAGGATGATGATGACAGTCTCGTGGTCATGAATACGGTGCCTGACCATTGGCAGCTCACTGGGAATAAGCTAATCCGACACCATAATACCTCACGAATAAGATATTTCCATCCAACGAACGACCCGATGTGCCCCATCTCCCCCGAAGCTGTGGAAGAAACTCGAATAACGATTGGGAAGCACCACCAGGGGGGAAAGTTTCAACATGAAGATACATGGAAAGGGTCAGTCACAAGTCACTGTTGCTTGGCCGAGGTGTGGACTGGTAAAGCTGTGTTCCAGGTGAATCCACAAAAGTGCCAAGGTCTGCAGCAGCTCGAACCCATCCCAATTTGTGAAGAACCAAGACCAACTGGGGTGGAATGTGAAATACTACTGACTACAGCTGAACTTAGGAGATGCCGAAGTGTTAATCCAAAACAACAGATTGCGCTCATAGCTTCAGCAGCCAAACGACAGAAGATTGAGGTCCGGCTCAAGGAACTCACCCCGAGTGAACGTCTTGAATTCGAACAAGCCAAAGACAAGGAATTGAACCATGTGGATATCGACTGAGGCCATCAGACGCATTTTGCGAAGTCAAGTACCAGAACATCAAATCCTCAGGACACGTTGGATCTTGACTTTGGAAACCACTGGATGAACAAGCAATCCAAGAAACGGGCAAGGTTCGGAAAGCCAAGGCACGCCTAGTGTTCTTGGCTATGAAGACTATGAAGACCCAAATATCGACAGTGTACAGCGCGATAGTCCAACATTAGGCCGGGACAGTCGCATGTTAGCCCTACAGATGATTGCGTCCCAGAAGTGGTCTTCGAGATCGTTCGATATTGCCACCGCGTTTCTGCGGGGAAGCAAGCAAGCAAGACGACCGCATTCTTGCTATCGATCCACCAGCCGAACTCCGACAGAAACTAGGACTCTAGAGCAACGAAACCTGTGAACTCCTGAAGGGAGCATATGGTTTAGTGAATGCACCACTCTTGTGGTATGCCGAACTCCGAAAGGCACTGTTGGAACTCAAATTTCAGGTGTCACCGTTGGACCCTTGCCTGTTCATACTCCCGAAAACCATGCCCGAACGGCAGACAGGTGAAGCATGCCAAGTCCATGGAGTTCTTGGAATACATGTTGATGACGGGATTTGCGGAGGGGATGAGGCTTTCGAAAAGGCCATTGATGCTCTTGAAAAGAAATATCCTTTTGGAAGTAAGAAGCAGAAGAATTTTGTCTTCGCCGGGATCCAAGTCAATCAAGAAATCTCAGGAGACATCACCCTCAACCAGACAGAATATGTGAAAAAACATACCACCGATAGAAATTCCGAGAGAAAGAAGAAAAGAAAGCAAAGCCACTGCCACCACCGACGAGATCCAATCCCTAAGGGGACTATAATTGGGAGCCTCCAATATGCAGCAACAAACACCAGACCGGATGTGTCATGCCGTCTCATCTTGCTCCAAGCAAAAATCCTGAATGCCGTCATTGGCGACCTGCTCGAGGCCAATCGGCTTCTAGAAGACACAAGAATGCCGATGTACAAATCCGAGTATACAGTCTCTATGTAAGATTCATATCATTTTCGGACGCAGCATTCGCCACACGAGAAAGGGTACACTCCCAAAGGGGCACTTTCAGACTGGCCACCACACAGAATGTTGAAGAGCCCCAAGGATCCAAGGTGAGTCCATTAGTGTGGAGTTCCAAGAAAATTCAAAGGGTAGTCTCCAGCACCCTGGCGTCAGAAGCATGCGCCCTGTCCGGTGCCCTCGACCAATTAAGTTGGATTCGTTTGCATTGGAGTTGGATATTGGACCCTCAAACGGAATGGAGAACCCCACTGAGACATTGACCAAAATTCCCCCAGCGTTTGCTGTAGTTGACAGCAAAAGTCTGTATGCCGTTCCATCATGCTCCGAATACCGAACCTTGTTGGAAGCACTTGTAATCAAAGATCGTCTTCGAGAAGGCATAGAGTTTAAAGGGGTACATGGTGCCGCCCAGATGGCCGATGCATTGACAAAGGACATGCAAACATGGAAGATGCCTGCTCAGAGATGTGAACGAAGTCCTAAAGCAGCGCTCGGACAAACGTCTGAGACAAGCATGGATTCAGTCGGCAGCCCGGCAGCCCCATCAAGCTCGCAAGTGTGTCAAGAGTGTCTGGGAAGTAATCATCCGTGATTACCATAGGGGAAACAGTTGGGGATGATGTGCCACATCCGTGCCAACAGCCGAAGATGCCTTCGTCTTGATGCAAACATAAAGATAGATATTTTTTTAAGGAGTGTTAATTTGTGCCACCAACCAGTGATCTCTCTTCGTCGTCGCATGCTTGAGGGGTACTCAATAGAGTGAAGGGGATGCATGGCCATCAATGCTCAAGTCAGGGGGCTTTGGTGGAGTCGGCGCGGACGCCATAGGTCAGTGGCAGGCTGAGGACAGCCTTTCGAACGAGGCTGAGGACAGCCACCAGTTGAAGAGGAGGAAAACACGTTGCGCTTGGGAGCGCTGGCAGCTTTTGGTGGGGAAGAGGTCGGAGCCCGCGCCAGTGTGTGTAATACACAAAAAACATATATATTTACATTTATATACTGTGTATATATATATATATACATCTAGAACAGCTGCTACCAAGGGGTCACCAATGGACATCCCCACACTGCTTGCAGGTCTCCATTGGGCACCCCTTGAAAGCGCTAGGTATATATATATATATATATATCCTTTTTTATAACATGCAATGCCATCTAACTTGCAAATTTCGATTGCTTGCGCTACTTCGGGAGCTCCGCCGCCGCCCGGAGATTTCCGCCCCACGGCCTCGCACCTGGGCCGAGGACTCCTACATGAGCCTGGCCTTCCCGGCCGACGAGCTCCGGCCGCTCACCTGCGACGGCCGCACCCAGCGCGAGCGCGGCGACCTGGACGCCATGCTGGGGAACTACTCGATGCGGCTCGGTGTGTAAAGGGTACGGCGGAGTAGTTCGAGTTTTTTGGGCTCGGTTGTCCACGGTGGCAAAAGAACTGCCTGGAGGTTGTGGAGGGGCATGAGAGAGCAATGAAGAGGCAGAAAGGCGGAAAGTTCGGCATTTCGGGCCAAGGCTGATCTAGACAGATCCGGAACATGCCCGGATTGGCGCAAGTTTACCATCCACACCGACATGAGCAGACATAATGACAGCACTCATCACATGTTCCGATCATGGCCAATGCTTCACTTGCGCAAGTGAGGACATTGATCGATGCCTTGGATTCCTTGATCATTTTCAAGCGGAAGGCCATTTTCAAGGTGAGGTTGATGCAGACAAAACCCCTGGAACCTCTTTCTTGCGGTTCCTGACGCAACAGGGCCACGCTTTAACGGTCAAAGGCAGCAATGCAAGCATTCATGCACTTTAGGCTAATTATACTCCAGACTCACCAGTTGCGATAGGAAAGGCCACCACACCTGCGAAACCCACATGGCGGTGTTTCTTCGCCATGTGTCGTCATTGTGTCGTCCCGTGCAGGTGGCAGTCTCACATATCCAGGACAGCGTGCACTTCAACAAAGACCTTGAGGCAGCTCAGACCAACAAGAGGAGTTTCATTGATTGATTAATTGCTGGATATCATTGATCTGAGGGGTCGGTTTTTGCACTCATTTTTTTAAAATATTGTTTCCAGTTCATGGAAGCTTTCACCACCACCCAAAAGAGAGCCTATTGACCCGGCGACCCTTAAAAATGCATCCCAAATCGTAACCCTGGTGGCCCACGGAAGATGAACAAATTTTCCTATGATTTTCCAAAAAATGACAGGTCAACCATAGTTTCTTTTTGCATGGAAAAAATTTTCACGAACATGTCTCATGTTCAGCATGAGCTGTGGCGTGGAGATGCTCAACACGTCGCGCTACATTAAAACATCATACATCCTGCACCTTAAATGAATTAAGAGTTAACTGATGCAAAGCCAGGCCCCAAGGCTTCGGAACGCAGGGTTTGTCCCGTACCCCGAAATCGGACGGGACGGGGAGGTCCACCCCATGGGGGCCGTTCGAGGTGAGCACGTTCGAGGTGAACATCCGTGCCTTGGAACCGTGCAAGGAAGGCGGGAAGAAGCTCCCATAAGAGTGGGGCTAGTTACAGCACTATAAGTGGTATGATTGGTCATCCAGTGTAATCTTCCTTGAAGGCTTTTGGATAAGGGTGGCTGATCATGGTTTGTCATGGTTGCACTTGTCTTTGACCCCACGTCAAAGCACACCAGCAGCGTTTTCAAGCTGAAACTCACCTCCATAGCTTGTCCATAGCTTGTCCATAGCTTGGTGCGCTGATTTCGGCCAGGAGGGCGGCAGGAAGCGAGTTGGTCAGGCCGAATGTTGATGCAACCGGGGTCGTGCATCTTACTAATCCGCGGGTTCCTGAAAGCAGAAAAGCGGATGTTCAGGTAGAGGAGACGTGGAGACAGCCTGAGGACAGCTCTCTCCGAAAAAAAAGAAAAGCACAACATTTGGCAAACTGAACGTCAAGAAACGCCAGCAAGACGGGCAGCCCAGGCATCCTAGGAGGGCTGCTGAGCGGCCATCAGCATGCAGTGAAGCTTCTGCCAAAGTACAAAGGTGGTCTTCTGACGAAGGCAGGTCAGAGTGGGCCAACGGCCTGGATCTGGGGAGGGGAAAAACGGGAAAAAACCAGAGAGGCACAACAAGGCTGAGAAGGCTGAGCTGAGGGGAAACGGCTGAGCCGGGAGTTGTTGACATTGACCCACCTATTACCTATTCAATTTATATACATGTTGTTCGGGGCAGCTCGGCACAGCCACTGCGATACAAAAGGCAACATCCAGAAAACATCATGGATCATTTACATCCCATGTGCTTGGGCTCCAGAGCATGGCGACGGTCGACATCAGATCACAGCTAGTCCATCTTCTTCATTTTGGGTCAACCAAGGACTCATGCCTTGAACGCGTAGTGGTCAATGTGGAGGGACTCACACGCACCGAAGCAAGCTCTAACAAGCCTGGAAAGCAAAGCCTGCTTGTGGAAAAAGCTCAAACCTTCCATGTGGCCATGCTATCATATGCTATCCACTTCAATCATTTGGGGTTCACCGGCTCACCTGGCACTTCTTTGGGCATACCGTATACCTATCTTCCCCACATCCTCCCCTGAAGGCTTTGGACCTCGGTGAACGCCTGCTGCGCGCCTTCGACACGCCCACGGGCATGCCGCGGAGCCGGGTGAACTTGCACTCGGGCATCCCAAAGGCCATCGCGGCCAGTCTTTGGGCTGGCGGGCACGGAGCACGGGGATGCACGGGGCGGATTTGTTCATCCCGACGCACGAGAGAGGTTGTTGTTGATCTTTGTTGCTGGGTAAATCCGGAAGAAAGGGTCTGTTGCTGTGGTTGGTTCATGTACTGTAGTTCTTATTCTATTGTTATTTCTTGTGGGGGGTCAAGTAGGAAGATGTTGGAAGAGCAGGGAACCGCTAGCTGAGAGCCTTCCACATAGGGCATGAGGACTCGAATTGGGCATGTGCTTCGTGGAAGAAAATGCCCGTTGGAGCGGCCGGGTAGTGGACTGATCCAAAGCCAATGCATGAGTTTCAGGGTTAGAGGGCAACAGCATGACAACTGGAGGACAGCACCCCACAAGGCTCAGGCCGGGCTTGCAATCGTGGCCAGAGGACAGCAGGAGGACACCAGGAGGACAAGAGGAGGACACAGGGTTCGCAGGCGTGGCATGCAGGAGGACACAAGCAGGGCACAGGGGTTCGCCAACGCGGCCAGAGGACAGCAGGAGGACAACAGCAGGACTGCTGGAGGACAAGAAGAGGATAACATGAGGACACCACCCGGACACAGGGTTCAGGGCACGCCCGGGACTGTGGCCTCTGTTTAGGAAAAACGGGAAGCCTGCAACTCACCAGCAGAAACACACTACCCCTCATAACTTCTTTTGTTTTCTCGGGGGCCGACCATGACCATCCCCAAGAGGTGGCCTCTTGGGGTTCAAGAGGCCTCCAGTGAACCACAGATATGGTCCATCCAGCCTTAGACGATCCATGTATGGAACAGGTCCACACACCCATGTCCATGCGTGAGTTTACGACCCATGCATGTTCGGTCACCATCTCCGCCCGCATGACCCCCCACATCAACCACACTGCGCACTGCAAGGGGTCGGGTGCCACGGTCACCATCGCAGAGGCGACAGGGGATATCGGCGGCGCTGTGTTTGGGGCCACGGGAAGTCCAATTGGTGTATGAACTGGTTGTTGCTTTGCGTGTTGCTGCTATTTGCTGGGATTTGGCTTGGTGTCGGGTTGAAGGGGACTTCGATGTTTGGACGGCGAATTGGGATTTTTAAAGGTTCAAGTATATTCAAAGTTCCCCTTGGGTGTAGTCTACAACTTCCACCTCCAGTTCTGTAGAGTGCCTGAGCTAGAGAGGAGGCAAGCGAGTGGTTAGGAACTCCTCATGGAGCAGCTGAGCAAGTCGAATGAGCCCAATGGTGGAGCGGTGCCAGAGGAACATGGCTCGGCCAGTTTGACGTTGGGTGCTTCTTGGTTGGGTTGCCACACATGTTTTTGTTGGTAGGGTGCAGACGTAGAGACAGGAATTTGCACCATTTGATCAAATTCGTGGTTCAATATATTTTTACAATTCTATACATGTGACAGTGATAGTGACATTGATATGTCTTGGTTACGTTAGTGTTTTAGTTTTACTGCCCAAGTTGCTTGCGGGTGCACTAGGCAACACCGCTTGGCACCTCTTGGGAGAACGAAAGGCCCTCCGCCTCGGCGGCGCTCTTGGTTCGATCCGGCGGCTTTCCAGGCCGGCTCTTTCATCTTGGAGTTCGGAATGCTCTCGGTCTTGTCGGGCGACGGCAAGTTCTACCAGACGGCCAAACGGTCGCTGCGGGCGTTTTGGAGCTGCCTGGGCCGCACTGAAGGGGCCTATCCTGGGGGAAAGCTGGCGGAGAAGCTGGGTGGTGTGGAAACGCTGGAGACGTCCATTCCATTCCATTCCTGAATGTTTCATGAATTTCATTTGTCTAAGAGCCTGCCTGGCCGGGGTAATACGATCATCCGAAACATTGGTGATACTGTAAGCTTGCAGCATCCCAACTGGAGGCCCAGCTGACAACTAATTATGTAGGCATGTTCAGTAGCTGAGCCAATTATTCAGCAACAAACATTTACTTTTGATCAGAGTTTTTTTTGACTTCGATTCAATGGTGATTGGAGTGGCATGGTTTGGCTTATGTAGTAGCAGTCGCAGTGTGCCAGATTGCCCTTTTGGCATTCGTTGGCTTATGGAGGTTGCAGGCTGCAGGCCAATGCACAGAAGTATGCACAATGATCTCATTGATCTCATGTGTTTCTGAAATCCATGAGCATTTGCTTTGACAAGTTTTTGGCACTTGAGGTTTTGAAGTGTGACCACGGTTTTCCATTCCATCAGGTTAGACGGCAGGTGAGGTCGCACATGAGCCTCGCGATGTGGCTGTGGTGACTGAGGGTTTCCTCAGAATTTCTATTCCTTCATTCACCCCCCACTCTGGGTCCACAGAAACATTCTGATCTTTGCGAGACATCCGCCCGAGGTCGCCGAAACGCGCTGGATCTGGTGGGCACGACCATTGATGTGCCTTGGGCACGACCATTGAGCGGTCTGAGTGCGTTTGTGGCCAAAGGCGTTGAAAGGCAGCCAAGCGGGCAACATCTGTGTTGGGTTCCACTGAGCTCAGATTTCATCGTCAAGGACTTCACTCTCAGCATCCCCAAGCCGCTGTTCGACCGGCCGATGCCGAAGAGGCAAAGGCTCCGACACCGAGCCATCCACCGGACGGTGTGCCGTCCGGTGGTGTCCCCGATCTCGGCGAAACACATGGAAAAACCGGATCAAATTGGTGAATCAATAGCGTTTTGCAGTCAACACAATTCTACAATATTCTACAAACACTGTTCCGCCTTGATCCTCATGGAGCGTTCTTTGGCAGAGAACACCTCCAGTTTCATGTTCAGACCGTTTTTGACACACGGTGGGCTGGATGATCACTAGCAGAACGCAATCGGAGAATGGAGAAAGAAGCCTGGAACTTCGGGATCATTTTCCAGACTCCCTTGGTTTCGGATTCATTTTGATTCAACCCTTGGACACCGATCGACCGGTTGATCGGCTTCCGCGCTTCGGCGGAACGCGCTGAGCTGAGGTGAATACGGGGAACTTTGTGGACCAGCAGAGCACCACGGGTCCTGGGCCGCGCGGCCGGTAACCCATGTGAGCAAATGGTGACATGAACTGGTAGGTGTGTACATGTGTAGACATGTGTAGACGGTTGATGAATATAACCCCCCTATATGTGGAGATGCTTCAGCCATTCTGGAAGGGAGAGGTTTGATGCATCAACTGTTTACATCCAGAGGGTGGGATGACCCAACATGTAGACGGTGAAGCCCACACTAACTGCTCAAACTGCAGCTCTTCCAGGCTTCGATTTATATATTTTTCGCGTGAGTTTTTGTGAACTGAGTGGTTGGATGTGGTTGGTGAAAAGATGTCGGTTCCGATGCCCGTTGTGACCACGTCGGTTGCTTTTTGGCCTAGAAAGACTTCAGACTGATTCAGACCAGTGGGGCCCTGAACATCTTCACAGATAATCAGTGGAGTTGCTGGAAGAACAGCCAGAAAGGTGGTGCTTTTGTGGCATGAGCATGCATTAGCCATGCTTGGGAAACGACATGGCTGTGCTTTTCTTCCAACTCAGCAATGCAAGTGGGCCTGTTCATCAACCAATTGCATAAGTCTCGGAGTTTGTCAACAAGACACACCCGCTTGAAACGTTCACTCCCTCAAAGCTCCAGCTGTAGGCCCCAGTGAGGTCATGTCCAGCTGTAGGGCCCCCGTCAAGGCCACCAACAGCTCTTTGGCGGGTGATTCACCTGCTTACCTCTCTAGAGCACTTCTCGACTCCCTAGAACGATTCTCGAACGCCTTAGCCTTGGTGTTACCAAGCCAATTGCTTAAATCAGCTTAACCTGGAGGGGATGGCGATGGAAAGAGAATGAAAGAGAGCCAGCATCAGTTTTGCTTTTTCATTTTGGGGATCCAAGGCAAGACTCCTTCTTCGAGTACTTGCTGAAAGGACCCCGAGCTCGGACGAGCTGTAGTGTTTCTTTATTACTATATTTTAATATATTTTTACTATTTTTCCCCAAATAGTGCTCCGCACTAAGGGGTTCTTACGGTAAGAGTTAAGCGGGTTTAGATCAGGGTTCGCGCGTGTGGCCCCGGCATTTTGTGTGGGCCGGCTCGCACAAAACTTACTTTTGGAATTCCTCATGTCCATTTCGACTGCGCAGGCTCGCATAAAGTGGGGGTCGCGGTTTTTGCGCTTCCGGGACAAAGCTCTCGTGCAGGTGCCGTGCTCGTTTTCGGACATGAAGTGCATTTTGCGTGGCAGGCGCAAGGAATTCGACACATTGGAGCCTCGAAAAGGTCATTTTACGTGGCAGGTGCAAGGAATCGGAGACTTTGCAAATTTCGTGGCAGGCGCAGTGTTTTGTGGACGTTGCAAAAACGTTGGCAGGCGTGTGTCATTCGCAGGACTGCGTTTCACGTGGCAGGCGCAGGGAATCCGCACCATGGATGCGATATTTTGAGGTGAAACGGCTGAATTCGTGAGAGGGGTGGCATTTTTGGAATTTGAACTTGAGGATGCTTTTGCGTGGCCAGTGCAGCATTTCGTATGACCTGCAGGCATGATTTCGTGGCAGGCACAGCATTTCTGAAACACATTTCGAAATTTGCGAAAGCCTCGTGCAATTTGCTCATTTTGGATCTCCGATGTGCAGATTTCGTGGCAGGCGCAGCACTTTGTGAATCTCGATG